GACACCCTGGGGCTCATCGACAAGAAACTGCTGTGGGATGTCAATGTGACAGGTGAGCAGTGCAGCACCTTTCCCAAAGCCACATCTATCTGTGTTCTGATCAGGAAAGGGAGTGTTTGACCCGTGCTTGTTTTGAGCGGGGTTAACAGGGCTGTTCTGCATCCTGCACAGAGGTACCCAAGGGTGCAAAGCTCCTGCATGGGTAGCTCTGAGCAGTTCTGGGTCTCTCCACACCCATCTGCCCCATCATGCAGGGTTACCCACTCCTGTCAACATTCACATGTGCCCATCCTGCTCAGGCTGTACCTTCAGTAGTGATAGTCATAAATCCACACGGCTTCCCTCATTGACACCCTGGGGCTCATCGACAAGAAACTGCTGTGGGATGTCAATGTGACAGGTGAGCAGTGCAGCACCTTTCCCAAAGCCTCATCTGTGTTCTGATCATTGTTCAGGAAAGGGGGTCAAAACCCTGAGCTTCTTTTGAGCGGGGTTAACAGGGATGTTCTGCATCCTGCATAGAGGTACCCAAGGGTGCAAAGCTCCTGCATGGGCAGCCCCCAGCAATTCTGGCCCTCTCCACACCCATCTGCCACTGCAGGGTAATGCAGGGTCACTCATTCTTGTCAACATTCACATGTGTCCATCCTGCTCAAGCTCTGCCTTCAGTAGTGATAGTCATAAATCCACACGGCTTCCCTCATCGACACCCTGGGGCTCATCGACAAGAAGCTGCTGTGGGATGTCAATGTGACAGGTGAGCAGTGCAGCACTTTTCCCAAACCCACATCTATCTGTGTTCTGATCAGGAAAGGAAGTGTCTGACCCGTGCTTGTTTTGAGCGGGGTTAACAGGGCTGTTCTGCATCCTGCACAGGCGCACCCAAGGGTGCAAAGCTCCTGCATGGGCAGCTCTGAGCAGTTCTGGGTCTCTCCACACCCATCTGCCCCATCATGCAGGGTCACCCACTCTTGTCAACATTCACATGTGCCCATCCTGAACCTGCTCAGGCTCTGCCTTCAGTGGTGATAGTCATAAACCCACACAGCTTCCCTCATCGACACCCTGGGGCTCATCGACAAGGAGCTGCTGTGGGATGTCAATGTGACAGGTGAGCAGTGCAGCACCTTTCCCAAAGCCACATCTGTGTTCTGATCATTGCTCAGGAAAGGGGGTTCAAAACCCCGTGCATCTTTTGAGCGGGGTTAACAGGGCTGTTCTGCATCCTGCACAGAGGTACCCAAGGGTGCAAAGCTCCTGCATGGGCAGCCCCCAGCAATTCTGGGCCTCTCCACACCCATCTGCCCCATCGTGCAGGGCAATGCAGGATCACCCACTCCTGTCAAAATTCACATGTGCCCATCCTGAACCTGCTCAGGCTGTACCTTCAGTGGTGATAGTCATAAATCCACACAGCTTCCCTCATCAACACCCTGGGGCTCATCGAAAAGAAACTGCTGTGGGATGTCAATGTGACAGGTGAGCAGTGCAGCACCTTTTCCCAAAGCCACATCTGTGTTCTGATCCTTGTCTGTTCAGGAAAGCAGGTTCAAAACCCCGTGCTTGTTTTGAGCGGGGTTAACAGGGCTGTTCTTCATCCTGCACAGAGCTACCCAAGGGTGCAAAGCTCCTCCTGCATGGGCAGCCCTGAGCAGTTCTGGGTCTCTCCACACCCATTTGCCCCATCATGCAGGGTTACCCACTCTTGTCAACATTCACATGTGCCCATCCTGAACCTGCTCAGGCTCTGCCTTCAGCAGTGATAGTCATAAATCCACACGGCTTCCCTCATCGACACCCTGGGGCTCATCGAAAAGAAACTGCTGTGGGATGTCAATGTGACAGGTGAGCAGTGCAGCACCTTTCCCAAAGCCACATCTGTGTTCTGATCAGGAAAGGAAGTGTCTGACACGTGCTTCTTTTGAGCAGGGTTAACAGGATTGTTCTGCATCCTGCACAGATGCACCCAAGGGTGCAAAGCTCCTCCTGCATGGGCAGCCCTGAGCAGTTCTGGGCCTCTCCACACCCATTTGCCACTGCAGGGCAATGCAGGATCACACACTTCTGTCAAAATTCACATGTGCCCATCCTGAACCTGCTCAGGCTCTGCCTTCAGTGGTGATAGTCATAAACCCATGCTCAGTGGAACTTTCTGAAACGATTCACCTCTGGAATCCTCATGCCCATCTCATAAATTTATTCTTCTTCTCCCTCCCCACACAGCATCCCTGCCTRTGTACATTTTTCAATTTTTACAAATACTGCAGACTTTGGCAGTATTTCTATTCTTTTTCTTCTTCCTTTTCTCCTTTTCCTCCCATTTACCATAAAGTCTGCATGTGCAAGAAGGCAGCTGAGAGGAACAAGAGCTGTCCCACTATGATTTTACACTTTAAAATTCTCCAACAGAGTCAAAGCTATGGGAGGGAGGGGTATCAGAGACTCAGTGATGTGATTTCTCCTTCTCCTGAGCCACACCCATTCTTCATGAAAGATCAGATGAAGGGAGAAGGTTTTGATGTAGAAATCACCCATGTAGCATCAGTTGCCAGGAAATTTAAATGTATTTCCTTTAAGAACAATTTCACCCCTGTCCTAAGATGTCAAAAACCTCAATGCCTTTGAAAGAACTTTGTTCCTCTATGCCACAGACACAGAGCTTCTCCACAGAAAAATAAGGAACATATTTGTACAGGCAGCATTTTAAAGATATTGGCTACTCACCAGTGTTCAGAGAAGACAGAATTCATGGTAGTCGAGTTGTTTCCTACATGTCCCTTAAAAAGAGTGGGATGGCATCTTAGTTGTTTTGCTTTTTTAAAAACTTTATATCTAGTTTGATTTTATCAAGGCCCTTCTGCATTTTATTACTCTTCCTCATTTTCTAAAGAGTATTGATGGGAGGAATTAAGTGATTATTTTTAAAATAATGTAATAAATTGGTTTTTTTCCAGATGACCCTGGCTTGCATGTCATCTAAACATAGTGACTTGCATGAACTCATTTTTCACAATATTTCTGTCTGTGTAACTCTTTTTCAGTGCACTTCCTTAATGTTTCTGAAATCCTCATCCAGATTTGCTTTCCATTTGTTTCAATTTCTTTCTTTTTCTTGTTCAAGCTTGAAAAGAGGAMTTTTGATGCCCTAACAATATTCAGTTCAATAATTCTTCCTATTTTTCACTCATTAAAGACTTCATATTTTGCTGCCAATATTCCTGGCTCTTCTGAAACTCTTTAATTCATTATATTCTTTTCAGTCCCACTGGTCTGATCTGCATTGTGCTGCCTTCAGTTGTTGTTGTAACAGACTGAGCAGATTTGGAAGATCATTTATGTGCCTCATTGCCAGTGTTTGATTTTATCCCCTAGATTTTAGGCCACACTCTTCTGAAATCAGTCTTTTTTGTTTCAAATGCCTTTGAGTTTTGTCTTCCCTTCTGAAGTCACTGACCTTTCTACACTTAATTTCTCTCATTATGCCATGCACAACAAATAAGGCAATTTCTGCCTCAAAGCTGGGTGGAAAAAGAAGATTCTAATTGCAATTATAACAACACAACTTATTAAAGTATTTATTTCCCCCTTCAATGTACTTTCCTAGTTTAACCTTCTGGGCTGTTTGAAAGACTTTGAACAGTTGACCTCTGCTGCCCCCAATGAAAGCATTATGATTGGATTCTAAAAAGATGAAATCCATTCTAAATGGATGAAATCCACTTTATGACCTTTAACTACATGTTATTGTGCCTTGCTTCACCAGATTTCTCTCCTCTCCTCCTCTCCTTTCCACAAAAAAAATTAGTCAATTGAACAGTGGATAGAATTGCACTGGGCGTGACTGATTTTGGAGCAAACCTTCAGGTCCTGCATTAATTCTGTCTCTGCTTAGCCAAGAAAAACCACCCAAGAGCATCCTAAAGGCTGAAAAAGCTTCAGAACAGAGAATGAATGACACCTAAGGACAGGGGCAGCTCCTGAAGTTTTTCTGTCTTAAGCAAAGTCAATCCAACCAAGAGGTAGGAGTCCCTCAATCTGTGGTCAGAACCCACGCTAAGTTGAGGAAGGGAAAAAAATTTGATTCTTGGCATAAAAAACTCCCAAAACATGCAATTAAGACAAATTTTTCACCCTTGTTTAACTCTGGAAGGTGCACTAATATTACTTAAATATTTAGGCAGAGGAGATTGAGTGCCATTGAATATACAGCCCTATTCAGGACAGGATTCTTCCATCAGCAGGGAGGGGAGATGTGGCCAAGCTCAGGCCAGAGATGCTGTTTCTGCTCTGAAAAGCCCATTTTTTCCTGTCTGGGAAGCTCTAGACTGCCTTGCATGTTTGTCTTTTGAAGGTACCCAGCTGCTGCTGGAGGCGTGTGTCCGCTGCAACGTCCAGCACTTCATTTACACCAGCACCATAGAGGTGACGGGCCCAAACTGCAGAGGTGACCCCATTTTCAACGGTGATGAGGACACAGCTTATGAGAGCACCTCCAAATTTCCTTATGCTCAAAGCAAGAGACTGGCAGAGGAATCGGTGCTGAAGGCTGATGGCCARGTGCTGAAGGATGGTGGCACGCTGATGACTTGTGCCCTGAGGTCCATGTACATTTTTGGGGAGGGGTGCCCGTTCCTCCAGGGCCACCTGGATAAATGTCTGCTGAACCAGAACGTTTTCCTGCGTTTCTCCAGGAAGGAGGCTCTGGTGAACCCCGTGTACGTGGGGAACATCGCCTGGGCGCACGTGCAGGCGGCCAAAGCCCTCAGAGCACCCCAAAAAGCCAAACACATCCGGGGGAATTTCTACTACATCTCAGATGACACCCCTCACATGAGCTATGCTGATCTCAACTACGAGCTGACCAAGGAGCTGGGATTTGGGATCGAGCAGCAGCTCCCCATGCCCCTGACAGTGCTCTACTATTTCTCTCTGCTGCTGGAGATGGTCAGCTTCTTGCTGAGACCCTTTGTCAGGTACATCCCCTCCACCAACCGGCACCTGGTCAGGCTGCTCAACACCCCCTTCAGCTTTTCTTACAGGAAAGCACAGCAGGATTTTGGATACGTGCCCCGCTACACGTGGGAGGAGGCCAAGCAGGGCACCAGTGAGTGGATTGCCTCTGTCATCCCCCAGAGAAGGCTGTGCTTGCAAAGCAGCAATKCCTGAGCCTCAAGAGGAGCTGAGACCCTAAAAAAGGCCTTGAGCCAGGGGAGACCTACAGCAGCAGATCACTGCAAAGCATCTCAATGAATACTTTAACAGCCCCCACACCAACCTCAGAATAAATAAAATGAAATGTGCATTTGTTTGTTGAGGGTAACGGTGCTCTGGAGTCCACTCCCACTTCTACACCTTTGCAGCGCAAAGATTTGTTTTAGTAAGACTCCCCACAATCCTCGGTGTGAACACTTCAGCCCTTCCTTCACTCACATCACCTCTAAGGCTTCTGTAAAACATGCAAAGATTTGTTTTAGTAAGACTTTAGTAAGACAGTCCTCGGTGTGAACACTTCAGCCCTTCTTTCACTCACTCACATCACCTCTAAGGCTTTTGTAAAACATGCAAAGATTTGTTTTAGTAAGACTCCCCACAGTCCTCGGTGTGAACACTTCAGCCCTTCTTTCCCTCCCATCACCTCTAAGGCTTTTGTAAAACACGCAAAGATTTGTTTTAGTAAGACTCTCCACAGTCCTCGGTGTGAACACTCCAGCCCTTCCTTCACTCACATCACCTCTAAGGCTTTTGTAGAACACGACTCATCCTAGAAGTAAGTTACAAATAGGCACCACTCAGCTCCACCCAATGCACCAGGGCTTGCCAAGCTCACCAAACCTGCAGAGACAGGAGCCACTCGATGCCAAGTGCTGGAACAAATCTCGTTCACTTTTCCAAGGGTTTTGTGCAGTTTGTTGTTTGCCTGACAGTCAAACTTTGAGCACTGTGCAGCARTTTTGGRAGSATTGTCTGCCYGTGGRGGGACACACGATAAAACAGATGGTGGGGGAGAGAATGAGCCCAAACCACGACAGTGGGGAAAGGTGTTTTGGGCAAGGGATTGTCACGATCCGCTTAACCCAAGCGGGAGTCGTGATGGTTTGTTATCAGAATCTCAGAGTGCAAAAGAGACGAGGGGGCAAGTAGATATATTTTAAATAATCAAGAATAATTTATTTGGATTTTTTGCGATAGAAGAGAGTGAGAGAGAGAGAGAAAAACAGTGGGTTGTATAGCTACCAAACGGCTCCGGCGAGCCCATGCAGTCTGAATTTCATAGGTTTGCCAGCAGTCCATTGGGGGGATCCCATCAGGGTCTTTTTGGAGAGACTTTTTATAATCCTTTTGAAAGCGGGTGGCAGCAGCCAGGGGGTTGGGAAGTATGGAAACTTGTGAAGTATGGAAACTTGTGAAGCATGGAGAAATCGGCTGAGCGGTGGGGAGAGAATGTCCATTGTTCCCTGAGGTGTGCAGTATGGGGTCGCACCGCTCTCTTTTCGTTTCCACATCAGGAGCAGCGCAGCCATCCATGGTTTACACGCTGTACCTTCCAGCCTAGGAGCTGGAAATTTGGCAGYCATCCCACCTTGATCTGGCTCGGACTCCTTTGAGCAAAAATCCCCCTTTCTCCCTCCTTGGGGTTTTTGGGGTGTTCAGTCTCGATGATGGTGAGACAGTCCAAGGTTTTCTGTAGGGTCTCTTACAGGGATGGTCCGGAGCGGCCGCTGGGTGGGGTGAGAGCAGTGCAAAGCTGAGATTTTTCCTGGAGTCCCCTCTTGCAGCTCCTGGGAGAGGATACAGAGCGGGATGGGAGCGCAGATTTGCCCCGAGATGCTCGGGAAGGAAGAAGGATCCGATCAGCTCAGTGGGATCGATGCTTTGTCTCATTTGTTCTGTGCCTCTCGCTGCCACAAGATGGGATCTGCAGCGATGCCTTCCCATCGCTCGCTCTGCAAAGCCCGACTTAACATTCCGACTGCGGAGTTTGTGTCTT